ATAACACGAGGAAGGCGGAGAAGAGGCGAAAGAGAAAGCAAAGCTTTGCTGGCGAAATGGGGAAGAGGATGAAAATGGAGTGGCTAGGGACACGACAAACATTCCAACATTTGACTCGACCCATTCTTCTCCATCGACCACGACTTTGACAAGGCTGAAGGCGAACAGACGCGTCCGGGCGATCAATGGGCGAGATGTTGGCCGCTGTAGACTCGGACGACGAAGACAAGCGCAGAACGGCGAATAAAAGGCGAGGACTCTCGTGCTAGAGCGCGAGGCTCCTGCTCCACTTTGCCATGTTCTTCGGCAGTGAGATCGGTCATGATATCCGACTCGTCGACGGCCTGTTTCGTTCGTCTGTACTGTACTGCGATTCCCCACGCGTTTCTGTGTCGCTGTCGTTGTTTGTCGCCCGTACACCCCTCCATATGCCACGTGTCTGTCGAGTCACACCCCGGGTATCCGTCCTCACTCTCGCGACTCTTACATCATGCTTACTGTCATTCACCCTTAGCTCCTTTCCCGTCCTCAGTCTTGCGCTGACTCATGCACATACCAGACCGCGCCCAGATTGCACTGAGCTGTGAGCTTGATTCGGCGAGGTCGACGATGCGTGGCGGACACGGCGGTGGCAGTGGCAACCGCGGCCGCGGTTACACAAGCGGTCGAGGGCGCGCAGCTGTGCAACCAAGCAGGGCTGTGCTAAACGCCGCGCTGATCGCGGGGCAGGCCAAGCTCCGGCGACCACTTGCGGAGTCTTCCGAGAATCGATATAGTGGAATCATTAAAATGTTCAGCAAAGCAATGAAAAACGTTGGAGCACCTATCGACGATCCACTCAATAAGCCGTTCCATTCCCTCCAAAAGAGAACCCCAGCCCAATCCCCGGTTGGGGTGGCACTCGCATTGATGATGAGCAGGTGCGGCTTTGTCATAGATTCCAGGTTCGAGAACAAGAAGGCAAAGTCAACTGGCGGCGCGATCATAAGCGCCGTCTCTGCCGCATTCAGTCGGCTGGACTGCGCCGAGTGTGGCGTCGGGTATGAGTGCCGCCATGTCAAGGGCGAATATGTTGAGAAAGGCTGGGGAGCGTTCCTCGGAAATCCGGGCAGCGCCCCACAGCTCAAACAGTTAATGAGGCGTCTCGAGAATGATCAGGCACGAGCGAAAGTCAACATCACCGAACGCGCTCTGGCTGAGACTCATGAGGTCGTTCAAAGTCTGTACAATCTATACGTCCGGGACGTGAGTTTACGCGTGATGAATGGCGTGCTCCCGAGTGCTGAAGATCCGTTCAACTTCAGGGCTTTCCAGACCTGTACACTCAACGTAATGCAGTGGGGAAGCGTGGCTCGAGCCGATGAGCTACTGAATCTAGACGTGGAAGATCTTGTGTTCCCAGGCTCTGGTCTCAACTCGGCGGTTTTTGGTGTATTGCATTTTACCAAAAGGAGCACAGGCGTTAGATACTTTAAGTTCTCGCGCGGGGCTCACGTCTCTATATGCCCTTTGCATGCGCTACATCGCTGGCTACTCGTTCTCAAGTCAAACAAGATTACGAAGGGTCCACTTTTCCCGGCGTTTCAAGGCGATGCGCTGCGCGAAGGTGTACGCATGTCACACACTACGTACCGGGAGGTGTTAGGATACATAAGTAACGCAATCGGGATCGCAGGGCGACTGACGGAACATTCTGCCCGTCGAGGGGGCGCACAGTATCATCACTATGTTGTAGGGTGGGGCCTTCGGGACATTATGGTACAATTTGCATGGACTGAATTACAGGAGATGATCAAGTACCTCGGTATAGATGATCAATTTAATGAGAACCCCTACGATAAGCTTGGTTTCACCTGCTTGTAAACGACAGACTGGTGTGCGTTCCGCAAGCCGCCTGTGCCAGCCGTCAACGGGCAGGCGGTCGGCGGCGGACCGCGTTTTCCACCCCCGCGCCAACCCCTCGCGCACGCCCCTCTTTACAGACGCCCGCCCTTCCCCGTACACGCACGCCTGCCGCCCACCCCCCGCCACCCTCCCAGTGCCGCCAAATATCCCGCCCATCCCCCCATGGTACTGTACCCTCCCCCTCCATCGCTGCACCCCCCAACCTCCCACACACCCCTCCCCCTCTCCCCCCGGAAGCCCAACCACTACCCCCACCATCCCCACCTCCCCCTCCCCCTTCCCCCTCCCCTTCCCCCCCATGGACTACGCGGATTACATGACCTGCCGCCCGCCGTCCCCCCCCGCTCTCCGCGCGCGACGCTCCGTCGCTCACGGCCGTCGATCTGTCCTCGACGCCATCGACCCTCTCCGCCGCGCTGAGCGCCCTCTCGTCTCGCGCGGGGTCGCGTCGCCGCCGCACGCCGTGGCCCTGCGTCTCGACCACCGCCTGCTGCGCGACGTACGCCGCCCTGTCGCGCGCCGTGTCGGCCTTCCACCGCGACCTGTAGCGTCAGCACGCCGTGCGCATCCGCCTGGAGCACCTGCTGACGCACGGTGGCGCCGCCCGCGCACCACGAGGCCGCCGCGCGCCGACCAGGCCCGCATCCTCTATCTCCTCGCCGCGAAGCTCGCCCTCCTCCGCAGCTCCCACCTGTGCGCCCTCTCGCGCGAGGACGGCACCCGCCCTGCGAGCGCGCCGACCACCCCCCGCCCGCCCGCGCACCGCCCGCGTCCCAGACTATCCTGCCCACCGCGTCGCCCGAGTCGCCAGAGTTTCGTTCGCGCTCCCCGTTTGCCAGACGCACGTCCCGCTCAACGCACCGCGTGTCCTCGGATAACGCCTTCGCGGCGCAGCGAGACGAGCAGCGCGAGGCACGGCGCAGCGAGCGCCCGGGGATGGACGGACGCGCGGCTCGCGAGCCGCCATGCGGCGGCCGGCACGGAGGGCCGGGGATGCTCGAGGCGTGCGAGGCGTGGTGCTCCTGTAGCCGACCGCCACGGCCCCGCGCACACTGTCGCCTTTGGGCTGCGCCCCATTTTGCAAGCGCGGCGCGCCCTGCAGTTGTAACCTGCAAAAAACATTTAATCAGGTCGACGAGCTCCACTGCGGGCTGCACATTGAGCGGAAGCTGCATGTAATATATCCAGAGCGCTTCTTATCGTGGAAGCGCGCACCCTGCTCCTAAACTTAGTTATGCTATTTCCATTTCCTCGTGGGGCCCGTAGACATTTGAGATAAGCGCGCGATTTGACGACAGCTGTACCACGGCCACCACGATCGTGCAAAGGCACAATGGAGGACTCATAAAGACTGAGTCACCGCTCCAAATCCGCACCCTTGTCGCCAAACTGAAAAAGTATCTCGCAGAAGGCTTCTGTAAGTATCTTGTATTTAGAATGCGCGGTCGCCCATTTGCGCAGCCGATTTTTCTCCGACGTTGTATAATCTAGCAAAGGCTTCTTTGTATAGATTGTCTTAAAAAAGTATGACAAAATCACGTCTGCCATACTGGGTATCCCTGTGGGAGCAGGGAGCTGCTCTTGATCAACGCGCCAACGCCGCCCGCTCGAATTCCCTAGCTTTGTCTGCTGAAAATCATTTTTCATCGGCGCTGTATTGTTTCTGCGGGAGCTTTGGGAGGGATCGCGGTACCCAACTTCGAGTACCGCTGCCGGCTGCAGCGCCTGTCGACGGCCAGAAAACCTGGCGTTCACGGGTGGGGGGATTGGCTGTCTATCGACGACCAAACGTTCTGCAAGTGGTTACGTTGAACGCGGAATTGAACGTTAGTACAGTAGTTTACATTCACAGGCACTTGTGGACAGACGCGTTCAAACGCGTTCGCGTGCAAGCAGCATAACAACCGACGTACCATGCGGTGTACCGACATGAAAAAAGTTATTCGTAATTGACTGCGACGGCCCTGTGCGCCATGAAGATCCACCAGCCGTTTCAATATTTGCCTGTGTGTTCAGCACAGGCCTTGACATGAAACCAAACGCGTTGCGAGTAGGAGGAATCCATATATTGCCCCCTGGTGGACTAGCCATGAATTCCAACTCGTGTTCAGCTAGCTCCGACTGACCGCCAGCCAGGCCTCTGGCACAGCACTCCAGCTTGAAAGCTGCCTCAAGAATGACTGCCGCTCGCATCATGGAGCTTTGATTGCGACGTACGTCTCTCTTGTGGTCCAGCACTTCTGCTGGAATTGCCCGTTGTTGTGCTTGTGCCGTTCGGGTTCCTACCTTTGATGCGAGAGCCTCTACAGCCGTGGCCTCCAGCAGAGCGTCAGCAGCTGCGAGCGCTGCTGAAGGTGCAGTAATTTTCGCCGCGACTGGCTTCGTGAGAGCTTCGGGGACTGGCGCCTTATTGACTACACTCGTCGGTTCGTTGGCGGTGGTGGTCATGAAGGCGCTCTCTGCACCGGGCGCAGTGGTGCTGGCAGAGCGGGGGGCAGACAACATTGACATTCTCAATTGTTGGTTGAGGAAGCTGTCCGTGGACATACGGGAGGGGCGAAAGGGAAACGGCGGGTGCGTTATGGTACTGGACGGTTGGGGTTATGATGTATTTTATAGGAATTGATAGAGTTATTGTTGTAGTCATGGGCCTACGTATGCCCACGCGGCGAATGAGAAGCGCGCGTGGCCTGCCACCCGGCCGCACGCGCCGGCGTAAACGCCGCGAGCCTGCCGCTCCGCGCTCCGCACTTCGCCCCTGGAAAACCACCCGCCTAGCTCCCCCGCACCCCGACGCGACGTTTCCTCATGTCAGGCCGCCCTCGTCCTGCATTTGTGTATCCCATTCGCTCTCTGCGCACGTCATACCAATGGCGTATATGCCCTTGGGTGAGACTGTACAGCGATTTCGGTAATCCCATCTGGGCCGAGCCCAAGGCGAGTGTTGGGGTTGCGGTTGAGCAAGCCGCGGATGAGCGGTTTGAAGTTGGACGAGGCCAAAGGCCCAGAGATCAACCACCTGTCCGTACTCGCAGCCGCTGAGCATCTCCGGGGCGACGTACTCGCGCGTGCCGCAAAAGGTCTCGGGCATGTTGATGGGGTTTGCCGGGGCGATGCGAAGGTTGGACGAGGGCGGCGGCTGGGGCTTCTGGGACGGGTGCTTCCGCTTGCTCAGCAGCTTGATGAGGCCCAAGTCGGCTCGGCGATGCGGACGTGGCCGTCCAGGTCAAGCAGGACGTTCTCCAGCTTCAAGTCGCGGTACACAACGAACAGTATGTGGATGTAATCGAGGGCGAGGAGGATCTCGGCGGGGATGCGGCGGCGCGCCTCCTTAGCTTTCACTCTCTCGCTTTTCCTAACGTTCGCGCCGCCCCCCGTGTGCCGCCACGTCTGTACGGCGCCCCCGCCCGCCCGCGGCAGACTGCCCCGCCGGACACGCTGCGCCACACACGCCCCGCCCACTACCCCGCCTTATTCTCATCACCCAGGGAGCCCTGCCTCCGGGTGATGAGAATGAGGCGGGGTCTTGCCTCCGTAGCATCCGCTAGCGGCGTAGGGGATCTTACACCTCGCCGGCAGCCGCATGTATATTTGTACCCCGCCCGCCCCCTGCACTCCCCCCACACTATCTCACTCACTCCCCCACCCGAACACGCCCAAAGCCCGCACGATGAATCTCCAGGTCTGCACGCTGCTGCTCTCGGCCCTAGTTTCCCTCGCCGCGTCGTCGTCGACGGGCGAGGTGCCGGAGGGGGATGGTGAGGGCTGTGGACGGGCCGTACAGCTACGACACGACGCGGACGAACGGGCACGGGCCGCTGTCGTCAGTGGACGAGGAGTTCTCCGCGTGCGGTGCGGGCGAGATCCGCCACCCTCAACTTTCCGGCGGCGGTCGGCGTCTCGCCGCTGGCCCCGCAGCCCAAGCTCGTGCGCGCCGAATAAACGCTTGGCCCGGCCCCGCCAGCTGGAACTGGGCCCTCGCGTGGCACTTCCACCACCCCGGCGAGCACACCCTCATGGGCAAGCAGTTCCCGCTCGAGAGCCACACGGTGCACCAGAGCGAGGGGGTGTGCGGGAAGGAGAGGAACACGGGGTCAGTAGTGCGCTTGCGCGGCGGAGGATAGCGCGGGCGCTCCGCCGGGCTTGAGATGGAGCCCGAGGTGCGGCAACGGTGGAAGCAGGATGAGCTGGCGCGGGAGCCAGCGCGCGCGGACGGTGGTCAGGGTACCGGTGTCGCAGGCCATGAAGGAAGGGGAGGGGAGGCAGGGGAGCGGTAGAGCGGCATGCGGATGACTCTACTCTGCACTTGGGTGCGTCGGGAGGCCGGGGCAAAGGCGACTCTCGGCGGATGAGGGGAGACGGGTGCGGCGGTAAGTGTAGGGCTGGGAGCGGGCGTAGCTGTCAAGACGGCAGGAGGGACCTTTTCTTGCATGGGCGGGCTCGGGCGGCGGTGGCAGGAGGCGGGACGCTGGAAGCCTGTACCATCAACGGCAGCTTGGCGCGGGCGGGCGGGCGGTCGGCGACAACGGCGGAGGGCTCAACTATGTCGCCGCGGGCTTCTGACGAGGTGGGGTGCCCTTTTATTTTGGGGGGTAAATTTATCAATACTGTACATGAGGGGTGCGCTTACAGATACAATTCTAGGTATTCATGTACCTACTAATATCATTTATTTATTTTTTGAATGCATTTTTATTCAAATTTATTTTTTGGGGGGTCGGTACTGTAGCACGAGGTGGTCTGGTACAAATTGGTTGGAAATTTACTACTGCTACCGCCAGAAAGGTCGGGCGGGAGTGGGGGGGGGTAATTTTTTTCAATGCAGCAGGGGTGCGCTTACAGATACACTAGCAGATAGGAAGCTGAGTTACACTTCGATCGGATATGAGATGTCCGCGACGTGTGTCGGTAGGCGAGAAAGGATCGCAGCAGCGACAGTGGACCAGATGGCGAAGCTCAGGCGTTGGTGGATGCGGGCTTGAGCGGAGGCAATGGTGCAAGAGCTCCGAAGTGCTATTAGCTTCGCGTGTTCATGGATGACATGCAGTGTAGACTGTGAGGGGGCGCCTAGAGTGTCAAACGATAGTGGCTGAAAGTGCCAGTCTAGGGGTGGCGGAGGAAGGTGATCGTCAATGAGCAGGGTGGATCGAATAGTCCGCTCGAGGGCCTGACGCTTGCGCACGTCAGCTGCTTCTGCAGCTCCTGCAGATTGGCGGGCAGCGGGATACATCATGCCCCTGCGGAATGGACTGCAGATTGTGACATCGTAGGCCGTAGGTTTGTCACACGGGAGCCCTGGGGCAGGGGGGGACGGTTGAACGAGGATATCGGCCGGCCGTGCAGCAGAGTTTGGTAACAGGAAAGGGACCTCGAGGGAATATGCAAGTCCAGCCCCACGGAACACGTGTCGTGCGAAGACCTTCGGACGGTATTGTGTCTGTGGACAAGTCCGAAGCCATGGCTACAGATGGTCGCGTGATCCCCTCGAGGGTCGAGTGGCTTGGAACAATGTGCGCAGCGCAACGGCGAGATAGAATCGAATGTGATAGGAGCGTCCAGATGACGACGTAGCATGGTTGACCAGGTGGCGTTATGAATGCGGGAGGTGGCAGCTGGGTGGGCAGTGAGGAAAGATGTCGCGCCAGGAGCGAGGAGAGAGCGAAACCGTACCCTTCGACGAATTGAAGCTGCACTGTGCTGAGGAGGGTCGGGAGAGGATTGCCAAAGGCGTTTCTCCCAGAACCGGCTGGCCGCTGCGCTATGCTGCGCCTGAAGTAAAAAGGTATGTATGCGTTCAGGACGCGCTAGAAGTGCGGTAGGTTCGAGGCAGCCAAGATCCGAGGATGTAAGGGAGAAGTGAGGTGGTTGTACGGAAGGAGGTAGATTGCCGAGAACCACCCTCAATGATGTTCGTGCAAAGCGCTGGTATTGCCTGAGGTTGGGAAACTGGGGCCCCTTTAGTCGTACCGGGGCGGAGTCGATGAGACTTGCAGCGTAAGAGGCGTGTGAAGTATTGGCCAATGATGTGAGGCCATGTCCCCCATGAACGAACGGCAATCGGACTTGAACGGCCAGGCTCGGTGAAAGAGTAACACTATTGAAGCGCTCGTATGCCTTCAGCTGATCTCTATCAAATTGCTGTGCGAACGAAAAGGCGAAGGTCGGGGGTACCAGCCGGAACAGATGCTGCATGCGACAGGCGGAAGCGGAGACCCTGTGTAAGTGAAAGCGTACGCGGGCCTCTGGGATGTGGTCCAGGTGGGCGAGGGCGGAATTGCAGTTTTGCAGTTTGCGGGTGATGTACTGCGTCATGAACGAGTCAGACCCAATAGGGGCCCCGAGGAGTTCCAACCCGCCGTCTTCGATGACGTGCAAAGGGGCAACAGTGGTGAGGGGAAGCAGGAGGTCTGGGGAGAAGCTGGGCCAAAAGACACGTGTCTTAGCTGGGTTGAGGAAGAACTGGTGGGTTGGTCCTTCTGTGTTGAGGATTTTAAGAGCTTTGGCAACTTCATCGATACGGCCGATGATGGTACCGTCATCTGCATACCAGCGGTTCATGAGAACGTCACATTCGTGTGAGATGCGCCGGGCGAGAGGCTGAAGAGCGAGAGAGAAGAGGAGCATGCTCGCAGGGTCTCCTTGTTGCGACCCTTCTCGACTGACTAGCATGGTGGGCAGGAACGAGGGCAGTATCAGGGGGGAGGTGGTGCGTGCATAAAACATGTCAAGAAAGCGGGACAGAGAGGGTGCTCTGGTTGGGAGCTGGTCCAGCACTTTCTGGCGGGAGAAACGGTTGAAGGCATTGGAGGCGTCAATTGACACCATGACATAGTGTGGGTCCCTTCCATGCCGACGGAGTAGCATCCGGGCGTCGTGTACGATAGCGTCCATGCCGTTCGGAACACCATTGGCTAATTGTTCAAGAGCGAAGTGGTCACGGGAATCCTCTATTGCGGCTGGGAGGAGGACTTTCGTGATGAGTCGACGGACGGTTTGTCCAATTGCAATTGGGCGAATTTTGGCCGGGCGTGGCTGTAGGGGCAGCAGAGTTGCGGCACTGACAAGGGGGATGGTGCAGGGCGGAAGGGAACCACGGGCCAGGCGGCTGACGAGATTTGTGAGCGCAGAGATGCCGGTCACTCCTGCTTCGGGACTAATTTGTGTGTGGGCAAGGAGGTGCAGGAGCTTGGGCGACATGCGGTCTGGACCGGCGGCTGAGTTGGGATTGAGGCGCCTGACGGCACGGAGAACGGATTGCTCCGAGACCTCTGGCGGCCGTGGTTGTGCGGAGGGCGGCAGAGGCATGACGGGGACAGGAGGGTCGGGGTGAAGGGCTTGCAGTGCTGCAACCGTGGCCGTGTCGTTGAGGTTGGCGAGAGGAGGGTTGGTGAACGTGCGCATCGCGCGCCCGTACTGGGCTTGGGAGGCTAGCCGCATGGCGCGGGCGGCTTGCGCGGCGCGAGAGCTGTGGGGTGAAGGGAGCTTGGAGTGTGTGTGCTGCCATGCCCGCCGTGCTTCGTGAGCATGAAGGGCTTCTCTCCACAAGGTACCCCATTCGCGACCGGTGCTTGCCCTACGTAGGCGGAGACGGAGGGCGTGCATTTGAACGCGCAAGGAACGCCATCCGGGCTCTCCACGGAAAGCTTTTCGGAGCACAACAGTAGGCAGCATGTGAAGGCGCATAAATGCTTGATGAGTGGCGTCGGGGGTGTTAGCTGCTGTGGCAGCGCGCACGAGGCGAATTAGAAGTAGAACCGTGATATGCAGGCAAGGGCCAGGGATAGAAGTGAAAATGTCCGAGGGCCGGATCGGGGTCGAAAGGAGTTCGTGGACCGACAGCAAGGGGAGGGGTGAGGCGTCCGGGAGGGGGAATGGTCGGTTTTCAGGGGAGGGCGAGAATGTGTCTGTCATGGATGGTGGAAGGGAAGCGCTGTGAGAGGGGGCCAAGGGGTCGGCGGTGGGGCTATCTGAGATCATTGGACCAGGGGAGAGAGTGCTGCGGCCTCCTGAGAGGGAGAGGCGCGCTTGGGAGGGGGGACTGATGCGCTAGTGGACAGAGCTCTTTTGATGCGCGGCGGGGCGTTAAGAGCCGAGACAGGGGGCGAGTGGAGAGGATGAGGTGCATGGTGTGCGCTTTGAGGAGCAGGAGGCGAGTGTTCGGGCGACGGAGCGGCACTGTTGGGCTGGGCGGGGTGGAGGTCACTTTCATTGACCGATGTGGCGAGGGGAGCTACAGTGGCGGTTGGGGTGGTACCCAGGGGCGCCGGGCGTTATAAACTTGGCGGGGGAGTGGTGGCGGGAATGGGGGGCTCGGTGACAGCGGTTGGAGGCGGCG